ATTTGATGTATAACTTGATTTGAGCTTGAAGAGCGCAATAATATGCAGATACTTTTATTTATTGTAAATTTTTAAGAATCAAATTGCAAAATTCGGCTTTGTAACAACCTTCGTAGCTTTATAACAAATACGTAGAAAAAAGTTCATGGTAAAATGTTATTTCTACAATGAAATATAGTTAAACAAGTACTGCGCACCATAAATATAAGAAATAGATAATTATATAATATATTATAATATTATATAATAATATTTAGGATATATAGTCATTTAAGACCTAAATTGCAAAATCTGACATTGTTTGGCACGCTTCGTAGCTTTATAACAAATATATAAAAAAAATTTTATATCAAAATGTTTCTACAAAATCAGGTTGAACTCAAAACATATGTATCTGCATAGATAATTACTCATAGATAAGGAATAGATAACTTTATTGAAGTTGGTCTGTCACTCCTAATTTTTAACTGTAATATGGAATTGTTTAAAATCTATGATGAACACGCAAAAATTTTTATGAAAATTAAAATATATTTTTGTTATCACGAATATGTAAACCGCGGCTTGATACATTACAATCTACTTTAAATTCTTATGCTGATTTTACGTATATGAAAATAGATGAAAGAATATAGTAATAATTTTATAATTACTTGTCAGAGATTTATTTTAATGTATTAAATAATTAATAATAATTAAATAATAAGCTACCGAATGTTTAAAGTATAATAAATCCGGTAAAGGGTGTGCTGCTAAGAACAGTACCAAATGTTGGCACGTCACGCTTATTTCTGCGCGGATTTATTTTTATATTGAATGCACGCGCGAATAAGTCCGAATAACGTTCTTTCCCAAAGTTTTAGGAGATGATTTCTCTTTCTCTTTCTGTTATTTATGCACGTGCAACAAATGAATAAATACATTTATGTTACGTGCTGTATAATCAACATCAATACGTAGAATCCTCCGTGTCTGTGATCAATGTACGAAATACTCAAACATTATATAAAGGATCGTTGTATTTAAATATTTCTATTTAGATATCACACACATATACATTCCGATTATCAGGGACAGCCAACAAATCAATTGCAAACTCGCAGGTCCTGAGAGTAATCAATCATGAATTAATTTTTATAAATTTTGATTTCTCAAATTTCTTACTGATCAGATTGTTCGTAATTATTGCTCGTATTTTAATACTTGCGCACGCAATGGATAATTATCTTGTTAACACATACTAAAACTCGCAAGCAACAACCCGTAAAATTAATTAACAGACTTGTTCGTCTGCTAAATAATTAATTTCATTTTGATGAAGATTCTCGCGAGCGTTCCATGGCTTACGTAATAAAGATATGAGCTGTTTTGAGCAGACGCATGATTGCAATAAATCACAAAATATCGCGCATTCGCGGATCGTTTTAAAAGAGGCAGAGTGATCGCCCCCCTCGATTACGCTGCGTGCGTATCGAAGTTCACGACGATACGATAGTCTTTTCTTTCTTTCTTTTTCTCTCTTTCTCATTTCTCAATACGTCACATGTCATCCAAGTGACGCACGGCTCTGCAATCGGCTCTGCGATCCCGAGCTCGCGGTCGACAATTGAGAAAGATCAGACAGCTTTATTTTCAGATGTGTCGAAAGCCTCTCTCTCGTCTATCGGGAGACTCTTTACAACGGCGATTACGCAGTCACAGGTGGCCGTCTAACGTCAAGGTCGTCACTTAATCCAATATGTGACGCTCGAGTCCCCGTGCCCGGGTCCGATCTGTAACGAATCTGAGTTAGAGATAACGCCAGTTGTTATGTCGACTGCATTCTTACGATCTATGTGATACGTACTAGGAATGATTCTTCGAAATCGTCCTTATCATCACGAGACTTTCTCGTCGGTCTGATCAAAGATTCTTATCGTAATATCGTAACGGGAAGCGTCTCCAGACGATGGATTCCTGATTGTACGCACATACTTTTTTCACGAACAGCTTTCTTCTTCGTAGATATCTCAAATCTGAAGATGATGAACTTCTTAAATTCTAGACTTCCATATCTTTGAGAACGCATCAGTCTGGCTCCATGTCTTCGATAGAATATATAGAAACAAATACATGTCATTCATTTGTTAAATTCTAATGTAAAAGTATCTCAGCATAAAAGATTCTCTCTCTCTCTCTCTCTCTCTCTCTCTCTCTCTCTCTCTCTAAATATAAAATTCATCAAATTAAAATAGCTGTAATTATAATTTGAAATGTACAAAGTAATAAAACTAAAATATTTTAATTCTATGTGTTTCTTCTAATTTATTCTACTCTTTGTCTTTTGTATGATTTCTGTTTTATAAGTATTTTGTGAGCTCTTCGATCCTAATTAAAATATTGTTATCGATTAGAAGGTATTTGAAAATAAAAGTACAAATATATATAATCACATTTGTCTAATAACCATGATTATACTTTCATCTCGTCATCAAAAATGTGATCATCCTCCAATATGAATACGAATACTTAACTATTTTACGCTAAATCGAAAGTATGCAAGATATACATCAAACTATACTTAAATGTCAGAAAGAACAACGTTTTTAAGAATGTTAAACAATAGATAAGACAGATAAGCAGAAAATGTTTTTCAGTCGGTTTCATTCAGATCATCTTTATTTTAAACCTTGTCCGTAAATTGTCTTTTATTTATCAAGAAATTTATTAATTAACAAATTGCAACAAATGACGCCCCCTGACCCCTCTCAACAGGACCAATATCCTCCTCTCCTCCCATTTCTATCAATGTAAATTAATTTATTCTCAGCTTAACTTATTTTTTTTCTAATTTTTTCTAATTCAGTTAGAAAGTAAAACGAGATTAAAATTAATCTACATTGACAGAAGTGAGTTCCGCAATGTGATAATTCAGATTTATTACATCACATCGTATTCATTCGCGGGGAATACCCTTCTTCGAGGTATTCCTTTTCTTCTGCCTGTCAACATGGTCTCGCGCGTATTCCTCTAAATTCTCCCGCGAAGACAATGTCAAGTATAAATCGAATCGCATCAAAGTGCCGCGCTCGAATCGGATCCAAACTCGAGTCGAAAGGTTAAAGTAGACGTTAGCGCTTGTCGCGATTCTCCAACGTACACGCGAGGAGATCGATCGTGTGGTGCACGCGTGCGCGCGCGCGCGCACACATACACATATGTACACAGATGTACAATCAAACGCCTGGTAACCGGTATCGACACGGTACACGACACGAGCACGTTGGACGAGGGACAGCTGATTTTAGCATCGCTATTCCACACACGCGCGTTCGCGCGCGTGACGCGTGTTCATCTTATTTTCCCTCTCTGTCTCTCCTTCTCCCGCAGGTGTATAAATATACCCCGCTGACGACGTTACTCCATTGAACTTCCCTGGCGCGGATTCCCCGCAACGCGGCGGGCCGTAAGCCAGGGTTATGCAAGCGACGCGCCCTCCTTGACCTCCTTCTTCGGGGGAGAATTGACCTTGCCTCTCGCTCTTGACAGGAGAGCGCAAGCTCGTCGCCGATCGCCAAGAGAAATCGTCCTAAAGTCTTCTTCTCTTTTTTTATATTAATTAAATCAAAATAGATCAGTGGACAAAAATAATAATGTAAAATCAAAATTGAACAGCAAAAGCGGAAATATAACACGATGACCGCCCTGAAATCAAGTGTCGCAACCGCGCTACCGCTGTGAATGCAGCCTAGGATTTATAACGGTGCGAGGGAACCTCGCGCAACTTCGCGCTGTCACGTGCCCGCGACTGGCCGCCACTTATAAATCTCGAAGACAAAAAACTACAAAGTTTCTCAAGTTTGCAGAATTTTGTTGAGCAACTACATGACAAACGAGTGATAAAGTTTTTCTCGAGTAAAATCTTTATCGTTAAGATGATGCAAGTGTCTTTTGAAAAATTCGATAAATATAAGTTTTATCACGGTTGTCAATACTTCAAATGATTAAGCTTCCATCAAAATTCTTGCTTCAATAATTCTACAATGTTACGACACAATGTGCAATACATTTTGCTCATTGTGATGTAAATTGCTACGGAAATCAATTTCTAATGTTTCTTTCTAGTTTAACTTTAATCTTGGTTCAACTCACATTTTTAAGAATTAAACCAAGAAATTAAAAATCAATATCTTATATTATTATCTTGTTAATTTATTCATAAAATTAGAATCAAATATATACAACTATGCATAATTCGCGCTCTTTAATTTTGTCAAAAAAAAAAAAAATACACTTATTGGCGAGTTAAATTTTCAAATTTGCATACCCAGATAACACAGAGAATCCAAAAAATAATTTTAAATTATGAAATTATGAAATGTATTCTTTTTTCATCCCGTTTCTGATTTAAAAACATTCATAAAAGTTCTATAGAATTTCACCTTTATGTCATTAATTCTGAGCTCTTTTTCAGGTATAAAAGAAAATCTTTTTATAGTCTACAAGAATTCGCAATGAAATCAAAATAGTTTTTAGATATATATATTAATATATTTAATAAACATCCACCAAGTATATCTTCCAAAAATATTAGGTTAAATTAATTGTTACATAAAACTAACAATAAAATGATATTGTCAAAATATTTTATTTTCTTTCATCTCAAAAACCAATTTTATAGACTTATTACTTACTTTCAAAGCTTAATCATTACTGTATCATCATTTCCTTAGATTATAGTTTAAATCAACTAACGTTTTCGATTGCAACGACTTTTGATTATTTTGAGAACGATTACTAACATCATTCACATTTCGTGCACTTAAAATGAGATAGACATAAGACATGAGCATTGAAAAAAAGAAGAACGAAAAACTGAGTACAGAAAGTGCACTATGATGTCATTAATCGCGAGTGATGCGATCAATCATGGATTCCATAAAGCGCTTATTAAGCGTGCAATTACATTGCAGTATATGTGACATGAAAAACGAATATACGCATATGCACTTTACGGAATCAGCCACAAATGCCGTCGAAAATGTTAAAAATCTACGGAATTCTCCATCATACAACGCGTTCTATTTCATTTCAAAATTATTCGACGAAATATTTTCTTATTCCCGCCGAATGTAAACTCGCAGAAATCTGTATCAAACGAAAGGAGCTCGAAAGAGAGCTCATGAGTCGCAGCTTTTTTCTTTTTCCCGCGTGCGTTTCGAACCGATTGTTCCCGCCACTCGCTACTTCGTAATTTTGAACGCGCAATCGCGAGCGGCGATAGGCCGATCGCGGTCGAACGCGACGTCGCCGTGGCGCGAAACACGACGGTATTCGAACACGAGGCTCGACGCGGGTGAATCGCGCGCGATCACGCGGGGTGAACTGCAACGTGGCGTGCCGCCAGAACAGGTCGGGCCGATCATCGGGGGTGAAAGGTCGCAAATACCGGTGGCGGAAGCGCACGGTTTCGATCGCGGGTGTGTCACGGCGTGTGTCACGGTCTTCCCGTGACGATCGCGGCGCTGGCGCGCACGGTGACGTCGCTTCACTCGTAGCTGCGCAGAACAGCACACGTGACCTGCGCGGCTATTCTTAGTCGGAGGAGGCAACGAGCGCAACGCTGCCTCGGTCACTCGTCGTCCGGCGCGCGTCCGAAATACTTATACGCCAGGAGTCTCCTCTCTCTCTCTCTCTCTCTCTCCTTTACGTTACCCGTGTCTCATCCATACACGCGTGCACTCATCACCCATCACGATGTCTGGACTTGCGGATCCCGTAGCGTTCGCCAAGGATTTTCTGGCCGGTGGTGTGGCCGCGGCGATTTCCAAGACCGCCGTCGCGCCCATCGAGCGCGTGAAATTGTTGCTGCAGGTACAGCACATCTCCAAACAAATCGCCGAGGATAAGCGTTACAAGGGTAAGTGCCCAAGTCCGCGGTCCCTCAGATTATATTCTATCTCTCTCTTTTTCGGATCTCGGAATCGGGCGGAAAGCGCCGGCCGCGTCACGCGCTCGGTCACACACGCAAGGGCGATGTGATTTATAATTCAATTACAATTCAAGGCATGCCGAAGAGGAAGCTCGGTTCTACCGTTAACTCGCTCCGCGTCGATGCGACGCGACGCGCGGCGGAGAGCCTGTGGAACATGTGACAGTAGTCAAATACCGTCGAACGTGCCCATTGTTTCTCGGAGTGCGCGAACGCGGCGTGCCGCTCGCTGCAGAGAGAAAGAGGAAAAAAGGAAAAAGGAAAATGGCATGGCGATTATGTAATTCGCGTGCCGTTGAAACCGCGGCATCTCTAAATATCGACGATAGCTCGTGCGTGTTTCGCCGCGGAGAGAACACGGCCACGCGAGCGACGCGGATCTCGCGCGCGCGCGCGCGCGCGCACGCGACAAATTTCGCATTACGTTTATGTAACGAAGGTCGGCCACCGCAGTTTCGGCGGACTTACATAACTCCGGCCGCGCGGCCGCCGATCTCCGTCACGCGGCGAAACCACCGCATCTTCTCCACGGTCGGCCCGCGACGGGATCGATATTTCGATAGAACGGCACCGTGTCCCCCGAGCCAGATGGCAGCCTCGCGCGGCTTCTCTCCTCGCCGAGACCCCGATCGATGACGGTGCTGTCCAACATGGCCGACCTTTCGTCCGGCCACGAGACCGAATTCCTTTGCTTCCTACTTCCACGCGTCATGCATTCCCCCTGCGTCGTCCATTGAGAAGCCTCGCGCTGATTCATCCGAATCGAGTGCAAACACTCGTTATCGGGACGAGACGATCTCATCTCGTCTCAGTTTTTTCATTCGACGATGCGGAAAAGAATGTTGCCTGCGATCTTTTGGAAATTCAATGGGCGCGTTCGACATTCGGTCTCGTTCAAATTGTCGAATGACGATGCTCGCGATGAGACAATAACGGGAGAGATATCGCAGTTTATCATTTTGTCGTAATCAGTTTTAATTACGTAACACAGTTTTTTCAGATAGTTAAGATAAAACATTTGTTAAAGAAATCAATGACATTAGACGCGGCATTATAGAACAAGATGATTTTCCACTTGAATATTTGAAATCGCTGCTCAATTATCTGCATTCTATAATCTTTTAGAAACTTGTCAGTCAACTTTATGAATTCTTATGTTAAAGATAAATTAAGAAACATGTTTGCTAGAGAAATTAATGATATTAGATGATATTAGATGTAGAGCAAATGATTTTTCACTTTGAAATTGTTATTTCCATTGTTCTGGAATCTTCTAAAAATTGTCGATCACCTTTATATTTGAAATTCTTATGTTGAATTATAAATTTAGTTTCTTATCTTTAAGAATCTTTTGCAAACTATTTTTAACATCAACTAAAATATAAGAAAACATATAAAACATAATTATTTAAATATCATCTATTTATCATTTGTAATCTAAAGTATTAAAATGTTAAAATAACTTATAAATTAAAATATGCAAATATTTTTGTCTTCACATAATACATTTATATTCTATTGTTTTCCAGGTATGATCGATTGTTTCGTTCGTATCCCACGTGAACAAGGATTCCTCAGTTACTGGCGTGGTAACTTCGCCAACGTTATCAGATACTTTCCAACACAAGCCTTGAATTTTGCCTTCAAGGACAAGTACAAACAGATTTTCCTTGGTGGCGTTGACAAGAACACTCAATTTATGCGTTATTTCCTTGGAAATCTCGCGTCTGGTGGTGCTGCTGGAGCCACATCTTTGTGCTTCGTTTACCCACTCGACTTTGCCAGAACTAGGTAAATATGACTTGGAATATATTATTTTATTCATTTTAGTTTTATTCGTTTTAGTTACAAATTAAACATTTTATTTAGAATTATTTAATTAACAAATAATTAATAATTGTGTTTAATTTCATCTGATCTTTATAATTTTGTCGATTATAAAAAATTACATCAATGTCACATTAATTTTATATGTTTTAATATATATTTTAATACACATATATTTGTTCATTTTATAAAAGTAATCCTACAAATATTATGAAACTTTAGAAGTTATCGTCTTATTGTTATGCCCTCTCTTTATTTCGCTAGGTTGGCTGCCGATGTAGGCAAGGGTACTGGTGAACGTGAGTTCACAGGCTTAGGTAATTGTTTGGTGAAGATCTTTAAATCTGACGGTCTTATTGGTCTTTATCGCGGGTTCGGCGTATCGGTGCAGGGTATTATCATCTATCGTGCATCTTACTTCGGTTTCTATGACACTGCCCGTGGTATGCTGCCAGACCCCAAAAAGACTCCATTCCTCATTTCATGGGGTATTGCCCAGGTGAGAAAACTTTTTATAATTTTGCTAATCTATATAATTTTATTGTCTAAGTCTGTTTTAATTGTATTTTACTTATTCGTCCAAATATATTACAGGTCGTTACCACTGTTGCGGGTATCATCTCCTATCCCTTCGACACAGTACGTAGGCGTATGATGATGCAGTCCGGCCGTGCCAAGACTGACATCCTGTACAAAAACACCCTTCATTGCTGGGCCACCATTTACAAGACGGAAGGTGGCAGTGCCTTCTTCAAGGGCGCATTCTCCAATGTTCTGCGTGGTACTGGCGGTGCGCTTGTACTCGTGTTGTACGATGAAATCAAGAATCTTCTTTAAAGCGCTAAAACGATCCTCGTCTCATTACTTTCACGATCACTGACATCATCATTAATTATCCACACCATCCGATTTGACAGCGATTTCCATAGATTGACGGACGAAAGAAACTTGCTGTCGGCGATATTAATAAGTAATTCAGGCTGAGGACGTTCGACGTAGCAGCTCGTAAAAGTGCATGAAACTCGGCAACACTGTAAACGTAAAAAAAAGATAGAAGAGAATCTGCTTAACTTATTGCCGGATTCAGTATTCTCCCGCAACGGCTGACATTACGTATTTTCCTATTCCATTGTAAAATCGAAGAGGCAAGCACAATCGCGACGGTATCGCGAACACCTGTTACCTGGATAACGTTCCACACATTACACGCTGAGTAAGTAAGCCGGTCGGAATATTAACGTACTGAAAGTAATAAATTGCCTAGAGAACCGAGTCAGCGCACGCGAAGTCAGCGAGAGAGGAGGACGCGCGACGAAATGTCATCATGGCGATGGCGGGGCGCGTAGCCTGGGCCGCCCCCCGCCCTTATTCTCGGCCCGTTGTAGATAATTCATAATTCGTAATTATAATAAACTATCATTTTAATTGTATCAGCCAGTCCGTTGATTTTGATGGACGATAATTTAATTTCGCACTCCAGACGACCATGTAAGATTGAAAAGCGTTACTCAGAATGTATGCATCTAATCTGTTCATGTTAGGATGCATGCAGGGAAAGCAGCAAATCAATAAAAACGATATAAAATTTCATAGATTCGGAAATTTCTTTTTCTTCCCTAAAACAATTATTTAAATAGATTGAAACTCATAGTAAATGTCTTTAAGTTGAATTATATACAAAAAATTTGTTGCGGAATTTTAATGTAGATTTAATAGAAATTTAACAAATTACGATTGCAGATATATTGTTATAATTATATAACATACTATCAATAGTTTGGATATTTCTAAATTTAACAATTATCGTCACTAATTTAGTTTCTGAAAATAAAAGATTTTATAAATTAGGTTCTTGATTTCAACAGATAAAACATCACATTATTGGAAAATAACACACATTAAAAACATCCATTTATTATCCCAAAACATTCATTATTTGGGGGTACATTTTTGTTTATTCTTGTGATCAATACTTTAAGATAAAAAAGATTATTGTAATTACAATTTGAAGAGTCAATATAAGCGCGATTGTATGTGTGATAAATTGATCAAAAAGATTTTTAATATTTTAAATTATTTAGGATTTTTCTGATTATTATATAATTTATCAACTGAAAAGGATCTTGAAAATCAGCTTTGCAGAAAATATTGCTTAATGAATATAGTAAAAAAAGTTAAATTGGAAGAGGAAAATTGATAAAAGATTAAAGGAAGATATACAGTTTTGATTTTTGATTTTGAATTTTCAACAACAAAGAAATTAAATAAGATTTATTTTTATTTACATGACCTTATTTGAACTACCAATGTGTTTCATTTTTCATTTACTTAATTTCTTTGTTCCTAAAAAAAAATTCAATAAGAATCAAAATTGTATATTTCTTTAAAAAAATTTTTTATATTCAATATAGTTTATAAAACATCCTTATATACTCGATTGGACCTAATTTTCCTCCATTACATTGCAATAACCTTATTTAGTATTTGCTAAAAAAGGAATAGTTAAAGATTAAAGAACCGTGTGTTAATTAGATTTGTATTATCACACAATTATATTATTAATTAGCCGAAGTTTTATTATTTTCACTTATTTCATCTTGATATTCTTTTAATGAAAAAAATTTTGTGGAATGTTTCACATAATAGTGTACCCTTGACATAATCAATGCATAAATCAGCAAATTACTAAATTATTTTACAAATTGGAAACATACAAATCGATTACGCTAGGCTTATTACACTAGGATTAATATTTTCTTACATTAATATATGACATAAATTATTATTACATTTTTGTACAAAAATTTAACAGGTGACATTCTTGGACAGGAATGGTAAAAAAAAAGAATATGGAGCATGACATTTGACCACCTTATATACAAGTTTTAAGCAAAGAGATGTGGATACTTCTATTATATGTATATATTATCATACAGTTGTTCGATTAGAATCACCTGCTATTATATCCAAAATTCGACTGATGCCTGGCATGTTTAGTAGAGTGCCCAATATAGGTACTCTTCGCAGGAAGTTTATCGCTACTGGTAGAAAACCACTGGAACATAGAAATAAGCAATAGATTAATTTCGATAAAATATATAAATAATAAAATATAAATAAAACATAATAAACTAATAAAATATATTTACCTGAACAGTAATACAAAGCCATAGATTTCTAAAATCATTCCTATGATGGGCCAGCCAATAAGTACTACGATAATTCCTCCTAAAAATGAGGCACTACCTTTTAGCTTATGCCTCTGAAAGAAGAAATTTAACGTCCTCCATGGCCCGATGACACATGCGAGTCCGGATATAAACAGTAACTGTGAGAAACAAATCGGAAGGTCAATCTGACATGAGATTACACAAATAAATAACAAGAGAATTATCTTACATTTCCTATGGCAAGTAAACCCTTGTCAAAGAGTAACAGTACGCCAAGGAATAAGAAGGAAATTCCAAATGCTGCCAATCCTACCCCAATTTCTGAAACATCCCTTACAGTCAAAATCAACAAGTATGCACTCAATCTCGGATATTTTGCCGGCACGAGATAATATCTATCGGTATCGAATTAAAAGGAATTCTTGCACTCACTCTGCGTGTCCGTGACTTCGAACATTATTTATAAATTGACTGCCGTTCGAGATGTGCCACTGAACTTAGCTATTTGATTTATTTGAGCGTAAGAAAAACTTAACCTACATCCACGTCATTGGTTATGATGCGGCATGAATCCACTGTGCATTATGGAGAAAGCTTCGTTAGCTATCTCATGAACGCTCTTTGTACGCGACTAAATTTAGCAGACAGATATTTCAATTGGTAATTCATTCATTTACCATTTTCGAGATTGTGCAATACTGTTTTTAAAAAAATCTATAGAATGACAGAAATCATTATATGGCATTCAAAGTTCCGAAATACTTGAATACGTCAATCTGTGGTAGTGTGATTTGAAGTCCCGATTCTTCCCGATTAATCTCGATTATTCTATTTATATAACAAATTTACATATGTGGTATATGTATAAATTATATAGATATATTTATGTCTTTTTCTATCCAATCAATTTTTTAACAACACACGAGACAGATTTAAATATTTTTAATTTAATGAACATTTGGGACGAATCGAAATTGCAAAAGGAATTATATTGCTCGTGGATTTACTTCAATCTGCCTGTTTCATTATGAAAATTTAATAATTATTAAAATTATACGAACATCTAAAGAAATTTAAGTATAATCTATTATTATTATCAATTGGGATATATCACATATGTGATTCTTGAAAAATTGCCAAAGCGATTCAAAAAGATATATTTCTGATAAATTGTATCGAAATTTTAAGAATTAAAATTCCGATTTATTAAATATTTATAACTCATTTTTTTCTCAATTTCTAGTTTCACAAATGAAGATTGTTCGATAATGTTTCACAGGTGAATGAATGAAAGCGATAGGATGAGAACATGTATTTGCAATGTGTTTGTTATATACCGACTGTCTCACTTTAAACAATTAATTCTAAAATTTTTGTTTTTAATTTTAGAAAAATATGTAAAAGATAAAAATTATAAAGTTTTAAGAGGATCACATGATAATAAAACTGTGGAGCTAATTATTTAAGTTTAAAAATAAGCCCTTCAATCGCTCAACAAGCAGATTTATGGAGAATTCATACCGCATCGATGTCCGACATACGACAATTTGATATCCAATAGATCTTATTTTTAAAGTTCTCTAGATAGCCACATTTTTATGTCCAGAAAATATATATTAGGCGAGTTTTTTAATTCATTGATTAATAAATCGCAAATGCAACTTTGCTCTATAAAAGCAGTATTTGTGCATTATACGATTAATCAATCGATGAATTAAAAAACTCGCCCATTTTTCTATTGGATATCGGGCATGTCGGAAGTGTCGGATGTTGACGGTGTGAATCCTTCATTAACTGTTTTACTGAATGCGCCCGTTAATTCATTTGCAGAGTGTAATTATTTTAGTGACATCAATTTTGTTATATAATTGCTTTAATGCTTCTGGATATAAAAGAAATCAAGAATAAGGTTATAGAAAATAATATAAGAAGATAAATGTATAAAAAGATCTTAAGATTTTATGTTAGCATATTTTAATGTGAATTTAAATTATTCATCTTTTACTAAACTATATTTTAATACTTTTATGTATAGACTAATGAGAAAAATACAATTGAGGTAAAACAAAATATATATATATATATATATACTTGTACACTCCATTTTTTAACGTATATATTCCATATATATTTATTAATTATCATATGAAGACTAGCTGTATAGATACCATCTATTTTCAAATTTAAATAAATTAATTTAATTCACTATTATACATGTATTTATATAATAACTATTAAATTAAATTTAAGTCATTTCTTATTAATAAACTGCGTAATATTATTAAATCTAATTGTGTATAATCGTGTAATATTAATAAATTAAATTGATTTGAATGTTTTTGAGAAATGGCCTATAGTTAATTTAAAAATGGCAATATCCAAACTCTTATTTTATTCATTAATTAATAAATTAATATTACATTTTTATAATTTTAATTATATATATTTATATTTTTATTTTGTATGATTTATAACTTTAATTAAAATAATTTATTAGATATATTAGAATATTAGATATATTAGAATATATCTATCATTTAATAATAATTAATAAAAAATCGTTTCAAACTGTTATTTGAACACAATGAACTTTAGTCTCTACACAGTAAAGTGTACAAATAAGCGTATCGAAATTTATTTTATCAAAAATTATTCTGTTCGATTAGATAATATGCATTATATTTCTTTCTTTATATATGTAGTATTTAACGTAATTAATTATTGCACAAATTTATGGGATAATAGTCCGCATTTTTAAAATGCCGATGCATTCCGAAACTCATCGGAAGAAGCGTTGTAACCTGTTTGAAAATGTATACTTTTCAGGTATATAAATATATTTACCCAGAGAATAAAAAATTATTATAAAAAACTGCATTTATATATGTATATATATTTAATAAATTCCAAAAAATTTTAGTTGCAAGATAACTGTAAATTACTTTGTAAATTAGATCCGTAATTAAAAATTGCTATTCGAGGCATATTACGTACGCTCGTTTTATGAAGGGTAGAAGGAAAGAAAATACATATATAGAAAGAGTATTGAGAAACGGAAGAGACTTCCGAGATACCGCTAGAACAAACGATCCACGACGTTGGCATTAGTGGTAACGAGTCGAGCTTATTTTAGAACGCGAGAACGCAGCGCACGAACGAGTCGTGAACGTTCCGCGTAGTACGCAAACTGGATTTGACGGTTCTCCTCCGGTGGTAGTCGTTGCGCCAGGAAGCTTGACCGAGTGGAACGATTTACGGGACATTTATGTGAGAACGCAGTTGAGCGAACATGGTGTCGGTGATGCAACCGTACATGGTGAGTTGGATGCCGGATCGGATTCGTACGCGAGCTCCAGTAAATGATCGTTTGACGTTTTTCTCTAATACTCTAACGAATCTCCGGAGGTTCCACTTGCTGCGCGTTACGCGAGATTACATTATGACCTTTTCGCGATCTTGCAGGACATCGAGAGCTCCAGGAGCTACATCGATGAGCTATATTCGCCTGACCCGCAAAAATGCTTGGAAGCGATTATGTGAGTCTGAAAAAAATCGATCTTAACCTTAAGAATAAGGCAATGTTTTACATGATCGAACATTTTTTACATTCTTTTTATTTATATATTTTCCCATTTTTTGCAACTAAAAAAAACTTAATATCACTATATTAACGCTTCATGGATTTGGTTTCTGTCTCTCTCTCTCTCAGATGTCTCAAGAATTCGGTGATCGGTAGCAACAGGCAAAAAGGTTCAGTTATAGCTCAAGGTGTGGTGCCTCGACTTTTGCAACTACTTGGAGACAAGTCTGGTACCATCAGTGATCGTATAAGATTAGAGTCGGCGGTAACGTTAGGTTCCTTGGCCAAGGGGACGGATCAGCACGTATTGGCACTTATAGACTTAGGTGTAGTTCCACTGCTCCTTAGCGTCTTGGTCTCTTCGCCGACTCCTGAAATTGTCACTGATGGCAAGCTGAAAGTACTAGATTTATTGCATGAGGCCTGCTTGCGATGTCTACGCACGGTATTTCAGCACGCAGCAGCACCGGTTCATTCAATTTATCAAGATCCTGCATTGGTACCAAGATTATTGTCCTTAGCAAGTCGATCTGTTACCTGTCAAGTCTGTGTCGCGACAATCTTAACTACAGCTTGTAAGGTAAAGAGAGGTCTGAAACTATTATAAAGTATAAAATGTCCAAATCACAGAAAGGAACTAATACAAATTACTTATCAGACAACAGAGGAACAAAATGCTCTATCGAAAGGTGGAGCGGTAGAAACGCTGGCGACACAGTTGGATTCCTCTCTGTCAGACGTTCAACTACCAGCTCTAGCCTGCTTAGCAAACATGTGTTATCAGAATCACATGGTATCGGCTATGGTCGCTTCAGCCAGTACAAGCAATACTGTCCATGGTAGATTGGTACCTATTGCGCTAGGCCAATTAATGGGACGCGAGAAGAGCTCATTGATACAGCTTGAAGCGGCAAGATGCATTGCGTATATGCACAGAGCCGGCGCGTTGCCGTCTAATGATCCACGAGTAGTATACCGTGCTTTACCTTGTCTCGTTCGTTTGTGTCATCGGGACCGACCACCACGCGAGAGAGTTGCTGCAGCCGAGACACTTGCATATTTGACTGAGGTCGATACAGATCTGCAGCGTTTAGCTTCCATTAGTAATCATTTGATACCAACTCTAGCAGAATTGCTGAGACCACATCCACAAGTAAGATAATTCATAAAATAAATATCTATAAATAACATAATTAAAAAAAAGATGCTCTGTAATGTTGAGTGTATCATAATGATATTTATATAAACAAAAATTTCTGTAGACATTCCTTCTGTCTACAGGTACAGGATGCGACACTAACACAAGATATGCGACAAGCTGCGTTTAGAGCATTTGCATCTCTTGGAGCAAACGATGAAGATATCCGAAAGCGTATTATCGAAACGGAGAGTCTTATGGAACAAGTCGTCTCTGGTCTACAAGATCCTGGAGGATCCCGCGTTCGTTTAGCCGCGGTTAGGTGTTTGCATTCCCTGTCAAGGAGCGTGCAACAGCTTCGCACTACGTTTCAGGATCATGCAGTATGGAGGCCGCTTATGCAGTTGTTACATGGAGCGGACAAGGGGTTGGAGGGTAAAATATGATAATACATTTATAATAAGTATTATAGAGATACTTTACAATAAACACAGATGTGTATGTGCATGCATATATATTGCATGTGAGATACAAAATACATATATTTAGCCCGAAATTTCAAATTAACATCTTAATCAAAAAGAAAAAAGATGCAATATCGAAAAGGAAGTTATTAATGTACAATGTAAGTTATTTCTTTATTCTATATAAGCCAAGAATAGATTGTAGCTAAATTAAGATACACGCATCAAGAAAAATTCGCAACTTTTTGAATTTCTATTAGCCGTATTAGCATTTTGAGGAAATAAAGATATCTAGATATGTCAATATGAATGTGAATTTAGAATGGTTTTTCCATGCGATTGTTTTTTCATGCGTGTAAACAGAAATGATGAATACATCCCTATACTTTTCTCTCTGCATTGTAAGATTATTTTTCAAAACGAAGAGCAAGAATAAAGAGATCAATGCTTGCAATTAGCTGTTATTATTAGTATTCAATCGCCGACTATGAGTTACTATTAATATTGTTGTCATTATTGTACCATAGGTAGAGGCGAAGGTGAAGGTGATTTATTAACTGTTGCCTCGAGTACTTTATGTAATTTACTATTGGAGTTTAGTCCAAGCAAAGAACCAATTCTCGAGTCTGGCGGAGTAGAGTTATTGTGTTCTCTTACTAAACGCCCCGAATCAGCACTCCGACTGAACGGCATTTGGGCCCTAATGAACGTGGCCTTTCAAGCGGATCAACGTGTAAAGTTGCAAATACTTCGGCGCTTGGGCACAGATCAGATCTTTCGTCTCTTGGCTGATCCTGAATTAGACGTTCTGATGAAAACACTGGGCCTCTTGCGAAATTTACTTTCCACTAAAGCTCACATAGATCGCATAATGGGCGAGCATGCTACGCATGTTATGCAAGCGGTCATTCTAGTATTGGAAGATCCAGAACACCCGGCAGATGTCAAAGAGCAAGCACTTTGCATTTTAGCAAACGTAGCCGATGGCAATCAAGCTAGAGATCATATTATGGCTAATGACGATGTTCTTAAGAAACTTATGGATTATATGGTTCGTACAATGTACAGTATTTATATATGTATTACAAGTATTTAATTATTTGCATATATTCCTAGATAATTAATTCCGTTAATAGATAGGATGAAAGAAATCTTGTGGAGAAAAAAAAAAGTCGCGTTGCTCGTATTTATGGACGGCTGTTTTATTCTATGATAGCAAAAAATATGAACTATATGCTTCGTCAAATGTGTGCCAAGTCAATTGAGTATTTGTATTTTTTTGAATCCTATCTATTAATCCAATAATTATCTTTCAATGTGTGTTCATCGACTGTACATCAATATTTTACGTATACGTTTTATTTAGATGCATAGCAACGTGAAACTGCAGGTCGCTGCAATTTTTTGCGTATGCAACCTAGTCTGGAGAGAAGAACCCGGCGCTGCGCAACGGCAAGCACGTCTGAGAGAATTAGGAATTCATCGTATTTTGCAACAATTACGTCACACAAAAGACACTCAATTATTCGAGAAGTACGAAATATGTAATATATATTACGCGCTAAATTATTGTCGTTCATCGTATCTCGAATTACACATGTACGGGATTCATTTGTCATTTCCATTCCAGAGTCAAGACTGCCCTATCGCAATTCTACGAACCTTGAATTTGGGACGTATCGCCGATGAAGATTAGGTTATGATTTCAAGTGTCTTTTATATTTAAAGTAAAGTTTACGAGTTTAATATTAATACTGTGATCACCTCGGTTGACGATGTATAATCGAAAGTTACAAGCGAACAAACTGATATTTCTGAGCCTATGCCTGTAATCTATCACTGTAGTATTTATTTAATTTAATAGGAGAAAATTAAAGGATACAAATAATTTGTTTATTGATGTTAACAGAAATGTTTGATATTTACAACATTGATTTACAAGCAGAGGCTTCAGATGTGGATTGCCGTATGCAATAATAGTTAAAGGGATGACTAAAACCATAAAAAGAAATTGAAATAAATAGAAAGCAAATGCACTTATGCAGTATACTTCTATACCTTTAGATATATCTGTCAGAAATATTAAGAATTCCATAGTAAATTTATATTGAAGATCTTGTAATATATATATATATATATATATATATATATATATATATATATATATATATATATAATA